TCGTTCCTAGTCTCGTGCCACATTGTCGCACAAGCATAAATTTGTGGAACAACATCATCTGCTTTGTGGATCTCATCGTCGTCATAAATAAAAGATCAGTCCTCATCAGCATTAAACGAAGAGGTATCTGAAGTCGTCGACGAAGAGCAAGGGAAGTGTTCGTTAATATTCCACATCTCAATGGTGTTACAAAGAGTCTACAAACAGAAAAGAAAAAATTCTTAGTCAAACGACCATCGAGATGTTTGGTAAACAACTTTCATTTCTAATTGTACTGTACGTGTACATAATTTGGCGTGTTTAAAATTTAGCGCAATCAATGAGTATTGCGTTGTTGGCGCATTCATGAATTAGCGCTACACAGTAACGCGCCGTATATTGTATTTTTAATGATTTCTTAGCGGTATTCATGAATTAGCGCATCGTTGTCCGTACGAAAGCCTCTAAAATATGAAGCCCGCTTTTTTAAGTACACGTACAGTATTTGAAGATTATAGCAGCCTGCGTAAAGAATTTTGAAAAAGAAGCTATACTAGTATCTAAATTTAACAAAGTTGCAGTGAGGTAGTTGCAAAAATGAGTGTGTGCCCTTCATGGTAACCCTTCACATACCAATAGTCAGGAACTTTTTCTGTTTCTCGTTATATAAGTTTTATTGTCTTTTCCCATTAGGGTTCTATGAGTGCAAAGGACATTAAATTCCAATTTCTCACTCCCTTTTCATGAATACATGCAATTTTCCAACATTGGTTGAAGCTGGTACAGTCATTTCAGAAATTCCGAGAAGAGGCATGAAGGCAAGAGGGAGCTGATAGCAATTGTTCACTGATTAACTCTGATGAACTAAAGATTTAGAGTTTGAAATAAAAAATATTTTTCATCGAATGTTTTTAACATACCGAGTATTTCTTATGCACTGAACTTACGTTCTTGTCAATATCTAAATAAAAATTACATAAAAACAACTTTTATTTTTTGTTAAGATTTAAAGTATTCATTCATTTATAAAATTGGATAAATCAAATCCACCCAAAAAAGGGATAATTATACTAGTATATTGTTCCTACCTTTCAATTTTAGCCATTCTTCCGTTTCGAGGCGACCAGATATGCGCGGTTGTGATCGGCTGTGAAATCCAAAGAACTCCAAGCCAAAGAAGATGAAATTTCCGTAGATCTCCATCCGATTCAGGGCAAACCCAAACATAGACATAGGAGGGTATGTACTCAGTGAACTGTTGCACAAGTACAAGTCCAAATGTTATAGGGGTTGCCAAGATGATGGGTAAGGTGAACCCAAATAGTTGCATGCATAATTTGCACGCAAGACCTCCAAAATACGACATAAGAGTAGTTGAAATTAAATGCAAATATAAAACTCCATATTTTTGTAGGTTAAACTGTATGATCTCGGGAATGAGAGAATTGGAAGTTGGGTTTTGTTTTACGCTCATGTCTTGCTCCATATCTCTTTTAGGGATGACCACGTTGCGAGTAAGCATATTTTCATTTAAGTGCAATACAGATTCATTTCCACGGTCTTTAATTACCCTGGTCAGATTGATCTGTGCATCGTTATTGCCCGTTCCAGGTCTCTCCAAAATTTGCATGTTCTGATTTTCAGTCTCCACTTGAAGTAGAGATCTCTTGCCTCGGACATTTGGTGCAATAGTAGTAACGTCATTTCCCATCGAAGACAAAGATTTCGTGGTAATTTCAAAGGGTGCATTGAAATCATTGCCGTTAGGAATGCCTTGCATGGACGAATTACTGGAATCCGAATCAGAAAATGAGATGCTAAAGTTAAACCCAGGAATCAGCAAGATGGCAAAGATCATGGTCCAACCAATTTTCCATAATCCAGTTAATATGTATAATCTTTGTTTCACCACAAGCAAATTCTTCTTCCATTCAAGAAGGGATATCTTAAATGAACAAATGTAGATATCTCCGTCTGCATAGTTTTCCCAGTAGGACAAAGAAATAAATACCAAAGAAACCGGAAGTTCCCACATTATCCTATTTGTGAGAATAGGTTTTGGTCTTTCAATGACATTGATGACGTCATCATTGTCAATAACAGAGTTAACCATGTCTTGTTTCTCATTATCTGTAAGCGGAATACTAAACATTGATGTTGCACCTAAATTGCAAAACTGAATAAGGAAGGCTATTCCTTGCACAGTTGTAAGTGTCAGTCGCTTTATTCCTGGTAGAGATTTGTCAGAGATAACAAATAGTGTTTTGAGAAGTGCTGGAATCACAAATATTCCACTTAAGGGTATTAGACTTCTGGCCATGTCCATTTTAGGAAGAATGTGAAACACTAGTAAGCACAATCCAAAGCTGTGTAGGAGTTTAATGTCTGAAAAATCAAAACACGAAAGAGTTTCAAAGAAATTTATCATCTTTGCAACTTCACTGAATTGTCGACGGATTTTTTCGATATTTCCCGATCACGACAAGGATCACACGGCGGGTGTGACCGGTCGGCAGGAGATGCTCACTTCTCCATGGCACCTGATCCCACCTCTGATGTCTTAGAGGTCCGTGTTTGCTCTTCTCTTATTTTGTAATGTTAAATGAACTTTTGAGCTCGAATACCGTTCGTTATCTCCACATATTTCACTTTAAAACAAAACATTTTCGCACTTTATGACTGTACTTGATAAAAAATCAGAATACAGTGCATATTGTTTGACAGAAGTATGACAATTGTATCTAAGTTTAGGTTATCAAATAATGATTAAATATTCCTCTTTTTCATATATGGCAACAAAAAATATTCCTTCAGTCGGATTTTCTTTTATTTGGCAATGAATGTAATTTATAGTCAGTGTTCGAACTTAAAGCGTGAATACAGAAAGAACAATTTCATTTGCTTAATATTCAATAAACAATGGATATAACCAAATAAACGTCTTGGTTTCTCCAAAAGTAAGAGAAAAGAATGCAATTTTTCATTTTGATTTTAAAATAAAGCTTCTATTAATTGTTTAAAACAATATTATCGAGCCCAATGCCTTCTTTTTCAGGGGAAAAACAAAACATAGCTTACCACGGTTGTAGTTTTAAAAGAAGGCCAGGCACTGCTTCCAAAAAAAGATCTGGCTGTATACGTAAGTATCCACAAAGCAGACGGAAAACATATACAGATAATCAACATCGTATTGGTCGGTGAGTGGTTAACATCCCTGGCATTTTCATCCTACAAAAATAGGCTTATTGAAAGGTATTTATCTACATCTGTATGAATCATATCTTCGAGAAAGCCAAGTAAAGAAGTACGTCTGCACTATGTCTCCCAAATTCACGGAAAACGAAAATAATTTCATAGATCTTTATTAACATTTCCTTTATTTTTTGACGTTCAAATCTTAAGTATCATGAGTTTCTCAGGCTATAACCAACCCAGTCAAATCAGGGATTAAAACTATGAACTTAACAATTTCGTGGAGGACTCACCGTGCATTATTACATTACATGAAGTATGTTAGATGCTCCAGTTACATATCTGGTTCCGATAGCTCATATCATTGGGGGTTTTCCATTCCAAGCCATTGATCTAATGAAGATAGAAGAACGTATATTGGAACACAAGTTTTATAACCTTTTGGGGTCTTAATTACACAATTAAAATACATCAAAACCGCTTGGCAACTTTGTTTCGGTTGATTTTAGACTCGATCGTTTTTTTGTGTGACGAAACTCACAGAATAAAAGTTCTAGCGTCTTTTCAACACTAATTTCAGCCCCAACATTTCACAGTGAAGCAATATCTTAAAAAAGGGGTCGAATCACATTCTTTGTTTTGTAAAAAAAAAAAAAATGGTCAAAATACAAGAAAAAGAGCTCAACTTACCTCCGAGTCGAATTCAAAAAGTTCCTCTAACGCATACTCTAGTATCCAGAAGTTCCGATAACGAAATCCTTTTCATATCATTTGGATATGAGTCAGAGCGATTGATGGCATTGTTATACGTTCCATAGATATTGATTGCTTTAGTCAGGCAAGATTTTTTGAAAAGCTATTACTTGTACGCTAATAAATATATACCTACGGGATTCAGAATTGTCGTTATCATTCAGACGTTAACTTTGCGCTTGATTATGTAAAATAGCTAAGGTGAGTTGTCTTTGTGAATATGGCGAGTTATCCCTAGTGTTCTTGTTGGGGTGCATTTTCCTAGAAGCGAGTTGTCCTAGGGGCGGCCTGTCTAGCATTCTAGCGCGTGCGCAATCAGAGTTTTCACCATTGCATCTGTTTTAATCTCACTCGGAGCTCCTCGGGTGGCTCGTACCTCGCACACTAACCAATGAATGTTTGAATGGAACGAAGCGGAATCAGCCGAGGATTGCCGATTGGTTTAACCTCGCTTATACATTTTTTCTGCGAGGACCGCAATGTCCACGCAATAAGCTTTGAATTGTAAATTTTTTACGTTCGTCGTGTCATTAAACGGATTGTGCTGACAAATTTTCATAACACGCGAACATACGGTTGAAATTTGCTTCATTTTTTACCTCAAAATAAATTCATTACATTAACCTTTTAAACTCCCTGTCCGAGTTATGTGCATATGTAGATGCCAAAACTTTCAACACTCTTTAAAAAGTAAAAGAGATATCGAATGTAAATGTAAAAAAAAGAAGAATATTCGATGATTTTTTTAATGGACATTGGAATTGATTTCACTCGTGAGGCAGGATTTTTCGATAATTTTACTTCTTTGCATTCGTAAGAATATTTTTAAAAAATTCTGTCCCACTCGTTAAATAAATTCCATATCTAGCAAAAAATTTAAAGTTCTATTTTATACACCCTTTTCTATTTATACCGTCTGTGTGTGTTACCTTATTCTGGTATCTATTTATTCAACTGCAAATGCAAATAAAAAAACCGTGCAGCTACATGTCTCTGTACGCCTCAACTGTTTTTCCAGACATTAAAGTGAAAGTTGTTATATTCCGTTGTAAAATCAGTTCCATACTGCATCGAATATGTCCAGTTCCTTAAATTCCTTAAGTAAAAATTTTTACTTACGTATAGGAATAAGAGTGAAAGAATTCCAAGCCATTAAAAAAGAGACAATCAGCAAGTTAAAGGAATTACGAAATGAGATTCAAGAAGAAGAGCGACGCCATAACATTGGTAAAATAGTTTACTCGGCTACTGGGATCATTGCAGGTGGATTGTCAATCGCTGGCGTAGCCCTTTCTCCATTTACATTTGGAGCATCACTTGCATTGTCAATAGCAGGGGTAGCAACTGGTGCAAGTTCGGGAATTGCAAATGTTAGCCATGGCATTGCTGCACATGTTATTATACGAAAAAAAAGTGATGAAGCTGATAAGCTATATATCAAACTCAAAACAATTCTGGGTGTGATCATAGATATCATAGAAGAGGCATTTTTTGGGATAACCACTACAATCAAGCTCGGTAGAATAGCATATAAAATTGCTGATATGTCTAAAAGTTCCGTTGCTTTACATGCGTTTAGAATGTCCGATGCAATTGAAAATGCTGCAACCAGTGCTACATCGAGTTCTTCTAAAATCTTCGGTGGAGTCTTTGCTGGAATAGGCGTAGTCTTGGAAATTAAAAACCTTTGCCAGAGTAGCTATAATTTGCACACAAATGCTCTGCATGAGAAAGTGGAAGCACTTGATCTCCTCATTGCAAACCTAGAGTCCAAATCAACATATCGTATAGTGGAGGAACTGTTAATAGAAAACAAAGAAATTTGCATAACTTCTAGACAAGATTTGAAGCTCGTCTTTGACCAATGTGACATAGAAACATAAGCAAGAGATCTTATATAATGATTGCAAAACATGATGAAGTCACATATGCTTGTCTTTTATTATAATATTATTCCCCTTTGTTATTCACTTGTAATAATCAATCAGTGTAAATAATGTAATTGATAGATAATTTGAAGAAAAGAATAAAAAAGAATTTGTAATATATATAATTTAAAAAGTACATTCACAGTTTTTATTAGTAAGTTGACTTTTAAATAATAGATTAAATGGAAATGAGACGAAATAACAAATATTCTTTCAAGACCAAAAGAGGCCAATATGGTATGTGGATTACGCTGGTTGATTGTGTTTAATGCTAAGCCACCACTAGCTTATACAAGCAAGTTTCTGAGGTGCTGTTGAATACCAAACTAGCTAATAATGCTAATATTTTGTTGATCTCTGATAATTTTTTCTCTTGTTATATTTATGATTATTTACCATTCTTTGTTTAATTCATAATAATTTACCTTCTTTGGATACTTTACAGGATGTATTATACATGTACTTAGGTGACCTTTAAGGCCCTTGGACCTTTGTTTCATACATGATTTTAAATTCCGAAGAGATTCTGTTAAATTATGCAATATGTTTTATGTCTTATTAAGTTGTTGATGAGCTCTTTCATTTTTCATTTGAAAATGTTTATGTATTGGTTAAAAGAAGATAACTAACGAAGAAGTCGCTCGGCATGTATAATGTATTGTCAATCTGTGTTTTATGCTGAGCTTTGTTATACCCCCGCAATCGAAGTTGGGGGTGTATAAGAATGACCTTATATGTCTGTCCGTTTGTCTGTGCAATTTTATCCGGGCTATAACTTTTTAACTGGCGAATCACTGAAATCTCATGTTTGGTATAGAATTTGCTCTTTACCCGAGGGTGTGTCTTGACCTTGACTCGATGTCATTATGGCAAGTTCAAGGTTTTATTTTTTGCAAGGGCTTTAACTTTATAATGGAATTTCAATGGAAGTTCATACTTGATACAGAGATTGTTTATGATCCGAGAATATGTCATGACCTTGATTTAAGGTCATTCCAGCAGTTCAAGGTTATTGACAGAAAAGGTATAAAATTCTTGTATAACCTACATGTAGCAATGGAGAATCATTTAAGTTCATTCTTGGTTCAAAAATTGCGTATGATTTTGAGATGTTTGTGACTATGACCTAAATCCTATTTTGAAAGTTCAAGGTCTCTGGCAGAAAAATTATACATTAGGAACTGCATTTTTAATGGCTCAATACAAAACGTATTCCCTAAAAGTATCACCATGTTCCTATTTTAGCAAAAACCGTATGATAATGCATGTTCATCCTACTAAATGATATGATATGATCTGAATATGAACTACAGTATATTTCTGATTAATAACCCTCCTGATTCGTTGCCATTGGAAGGAAGTCTGGTAAATAAACACGAGTTCAGAACAAATAAAACATTTTGACCGGATGTGAACAGAAGAGGCTTCTAAAACTATCTCCCTGATCTGCCTCGTGCATAAATTCTATTTGAAATGCTGATTAACGTTAAAAATCTTCTTCGAAACAGGGTATCATGTTTATTTCTTACCTTTGGTATTTTTATATGTTGTATGTTCTTATTAATATCGCAAGATCGCAAGATGCCTCTTAGACGTCATATTATGAGAACAATAATTCGTGAGTGAAGACGGTTGATCAAAAGATTTTATAATTACATGGATTTCAGCACCCCCCCCCCCCCCGAAATAAAATGAAAGTGAGAAAATTTATTTCGAGAGTGGTGCTTCTCGCCTCGCGTATATTTCTGAATATGCAGTATGATACAAAGGCAACCTCTAACAACTTTACAAAAACGGAAAATGATATCAGCTTTTGGAATAAAGATATGATAGGCTAGGAATTCACGTTTCATGTATTTTTGGTAAGCTATATGTCTAATAAAAATTCTCAGAAGTGCGGGGCGGGGGAGTGGGTGGATGCACTATCCATTCGCCAGGTACCAGTGGTTTTCTGGTGAAATGACGCCCAATACCTTCACAACTTTGGAACTTGTTTTGCAGTGGAGGCAAATGCGACATGTGTATTGTTCTGGTTGTCCACATTATTACATTTTTCACGCACATTATTACACTATTCACGCAAAGAATAAATATTGTACGGTTGATAATTCGAGAATCGAGGATTTCTAGAATAAGGTCCCTTTTCAGGCTTGAATAAAAAAAAAAACCTGGCTTATACTATAAATTAAAGAAGCTTAAGAATATTTTTGTAATGATTGCAATATTGTTTAAAGATGACAATCACTTAGCTTGAATTTTTGACTGAATGTCCTTTACATAGTCTCTAAGAATAAAGTACATATTATTTGAGGTCTCCAACTACATACAAATTAAGGCAAGTGCCCAGCTCTCTCATAATCACGGTGTTATGGTTGGGTCACCTCGATATTTATGCCTCAAGCACTCGAGGAAAATTAATAATTGTCAGTGGGGGATTTAAGGGGGACACTGCCTTCTCTCCAAAATTTTCAAATCTAAGATATATCATTGTTTTATCTCTTAAAAGAAATGCATTTTTGGATAAGGGTGAAAAAAGCTTTATTCCGGTTACTCGGATGACTTTTCGTTACACATCTCAACATTCTTTCTAGCGATAGATATTCAATATTCAATTCACTTTACGGATTTGAAATCACCATTTCTTTGAAAATATTTCGATGTATGGGACAGCATCTTATTAAAACAGATTATTAATAATTAACAATTTATTTAGGTCTTCAAAACTTTTATTGCCCTTGGCATTCAAAATCATTAATTAGATAAACTGTGAAAACTAATCAAAACAAACCGATCGTATTTGTGAATATATTGAGACTAACAGTAAATGAAAATGATGACAAGAAATATGAAAAAATAGCAACGTATACACTTCTGTGTTGGAGATAAGTACGGTTATTTGTGCTGTACATCTTTAAGTTTACATTTAAAAACAAAACTACATTTCTTTTCTACTTATTTAATCAGTAAAATGTCTATATATCCTACAACCGGGTAGCAGGTTTACTAACCGATACTCGAATCGTTCGACAGTAAACGCGTTTCTCGTTGACAACACTAGTTTTTAGTGCCAAATGCGCTCCATACTGAAGATCCATAGTCGCTATTTTGTAAATTTTCACCTAACCGAAAATGTCCATTAATCAGTATTTGAACTCACAAATGCACTGAAAACTCGTCTGGAAGGTGGACTTCCTCTCTCTCTGCAACGTCATTGAACTCCGTGTCCGCCAAAAAAAGTTCCGCCAAAATAATTGAGCAAGCAAAACGCCAAATTTTACACCCGCTAAAGAAATTCGCTATACGATATGATATAATAAAATACGTGATCAAATTTTCCCCATCTGCCTCTATATGGCACAAGTACACTGTTTACAAAGGTTTCAAAACGAAATTACCAATATTGTTACGTCCATGTATTGATGTAAGTACAGAAGATTTTTTTTAAATGTCTGTCAATTCAACGTGTTCAAACACAATGTCCTAGTTTGCACATAACATACTACCTCACAAGTCAAGTGATGTTATTTAGTACAGTGTATTGAGGTAATAAACCACGTGGTGAATTATAAACTTACAATGAAACGCATTGAGGTGGTAAAATTCTCCATTTGAATGGAACGTTTTGAGCTTTCTTTAGAACGTTGATTGCCATATAATCAACGCCTATTTGTAGTAGTTACCCCATACAATATTGTTGGTTATGTGTAGATACCCGATGGGCGTGGTCATAAGGACACGAGGGAGCGTAGCTCCCGAGTTGTCACTATTACCACGGCCATCGGGTATCTGCACATAATTAACAATATTATATGGGGTAAGTTACTTGTAACATAGTGTTGTAAAATTAATCATATCTAAGTCTTTTACATGTAGTACGAATTTTAAGTGACGTGTTATTGAAAATGTGCTTGTTTTCAATAAGGAATGTTGATTTGTTTTTCTCTTATGTTTAAAATGTCAAAATCAAATGATTCTAACTTTTTAAAACTGAATTTTTTTTCTGTTAACTTTTACCTATGTTCTTTGTGCATGGTGGCATATAGGGTCATCTTTTTATAATGATTTAAAACATTTAAAAATGTAAAAGAATTTGTATATTTAGAATGGATGCAATGAAACTTAATTATTCAATTAAGTTTAAATTTTATGTACCAAATGTTCTTGGTTGGTTATAAATAGAACGATATTGGAATCATTTAAGAAATACCATCGATATCAATACCAATACTAAGGTAATGGCTCACTCGCTCACATGAGAATATTTTTAGAAAAAAACGAAAAAAAAATTATTAATCAAGCGATTCAGGACTTGTTTTTCATTTCTTAATGAAAGTCAAAGTCTAAAATCCAAGCTTCCAATTGATACTGATCGTCTAATGCTTTCTATGATTTATATTTTTTTGCTCTTGAATTTGGTGTATCTAGTCCGGATGATTGTTCGATTTAAAAAATGTGGCTTGGTTCAAAGGCTCTTTTGTCCTGGCTTGATGGGCGGAGTTTATAGAAAAGTGTGAGTTATGGTTAGATAATCCACATTTAACAAAAGAAATCATTCCTAACTATGGTACAACTTCTGAAAGGAAAATGGTTCATTCGAATACCTGTAGAAAAGGTTTTCATAAATATAATAGCCAATCAAATTGACAATCTACATAAACATCGAGTAAACGCGTGTTCGACCGATACATGTGTTGTGGTAACTTTAGTAAAAAGAAATTTTAAAAAGTTTGCACTATTTTCTGACATAAGAACGTGAACTTTTTTCTAATTTGCAAAGAATCTTAAGGGAAACTATTTGGAAATGTAAATATTATTTAAAATATACATTGTACTAGCAACTACTCCCAAAAACTTATGAATAACTTATTTTTAAAAAAAGGTACACATTTAAAAGGCGACAGAATTAAGTTTAATTTTACATTTTATACATAACTCACTTATATTCTCTAAAATAACCTCAAACAAGATTCCAATTTGTAAGGATATCTTTTTTACTGTTGCATTTTTAAACACTTAGAAACCCATCATTCTTTTCACTATCCTTAAAATTAAACCCAGAATCACTATGTTGATCCCCACTACGATCACACCGCAGCTGATTTCTGTATCGACGTTCGAATGCTCTCCTCAGTGTTCTACCAGTTGTCAATCCACGTCGATTGAACACTGCGCTGTTTTTTCGGCGAAGGGACATTCTCTTCTGACGAGCGTCATGAAAGTTAGATCCGAGATTCTCACATGCTGTGGACATGGAGGAACAAGAGCTTGTGTACAAAGTTGATATTGCTTCGTCGTCGTCATCTATATCGTCCTCCTCATAGTCTGGAAGAGGATCATCATAATCGGGCTCAGGTTCGTTTTCGATATTACTTACTCTCTGCAGTTCCATTGCCTTAGCAATGACTTCCTGTATTTTGTACTTTTCGGTAAACTTCTGACTGCATGATATATCAGTGATGGAGAGAACATGAAGAATTGTTCCCCAACGATGTGAAAGCATTCCAAGAAATTGAAAAAGCAATATTGCAGAAAATAATGCTAAAAAGATCATACCAAGGGGTTCAAATGTCAGATCTTTTTGTGAAGAATCGAAATGAGGAATTTTGATGAAAAGATCTGTGTCTTTAAAGTCATCTTGTAAAAGTTGGAGCTGCATGGTAAGAGCTATCCACAGAGCAGAGGTCATAAAGAATCCAAATACAACATTGTTGCGCAAGTTTTTTAAGGCATTTACTACTCTCTCCTGGTGAAGCTTGTCTTCCTTTATTGGATATAAATATTTTTGCAACAATTGTTTCCAAAACAAGATCTCCCTTTCATCAAGTTTCTTAATAGGACCATCCCCTAAGATATGGTTTTGCAGATTTTCTTGATGATCGATTTTTGTGTAATTCTTCGGTTCCGTTTTCCCCTTATTGTTCACATAATCTTCAGATGCATGAGAAATAGTCAGTGCTTTTGTACTTGATTCCATAATATCTGGCTTTGTTGACGACATAACCCCTTCGTTCAGTAGCTCCTTCGGTACACGCTTATCCCTTAATTCTATTATCAGTTCCTCTAATAGTTTATCAGTTTTTGTAGGTCTTTCTGTATTGGCAAGAGTCAGCGTGCGAACTTGACGAAAAAGTTCAACTGTTTCATTGATGATAGAGGTTATACCAAGCCATCCAAGAATTCCTTTCTTCTGCTTTTTCTTTCCTTCCTCTGCCTCTTTTTTTGCCGATGACTTCGTATCACTTTTTTGTTCAGCAACTTCACGTGTCCCCCACGACACTACATGCATGTTGCAAAGGTAATATATGGTTAAAACAAGGTAACCCGTAGGAATACAGATGAAGTATAGCGCTCCTGGTATTACACAGGCAAATTCTTCCGGATGCAGCAAAGCAGCAATAAAATAAATAATGACAAGTATTGATAGAAAAACAACATTTGGACTTGTTAGTCCTCCCTCTATAGCTGTTCCAACTGTACCTACTAAAACGATGGTCATCACTATGGCATAACTTGCACTGGCAATCGTGGCAAATATAATTTGAGTACTTGGTTTTGCATACAGGCACACGATGATGAGAGCAATTGCTGGCGTCAGGGCTATAGCATAGGACTCTATAATCGTTGTTTTAAAGACAACAGTGAATGCTCCTGCCATCATAAGGAGTACTGTGGCTGGGCCTAAAATTGTGGACACCAGAAGGAAGAATTGGTATAATATATAGGGTGTACTTATGTTGTCATTGAGACGTACAGTGTTTTTCCAGTCTCCTAAAAGATCGACTAAATTGGCCAAGGTAGAGGGACCCCATCTTCGGCGCTGATTGAAGAACTCAGAGAAAGTTTCTGGTGCGTGTGTTAGGGCATCTGCAGCGGCACAATAATCGATTCTATATCCTTGTTGTAGGAGAAGTGTACTAAGCCATCTGTCTTCTCCTTAAATATAGAAAAATTATCATGATTTGCTTTGTAAAAAAATACTTTTCACAAATCGTTTAAAAAAGATTGGTTGTTGGCAAACAAGAGCAGTCTTAGCAGTGTTATATCAGTGATAGGCTAAAAATTTTAAAAAAGATACCCGAAAACTGAAGTGTGGGTGTATACCCAAAACCGTTGTAGGTTGAGTTGGTCGAATTAAAGGACAAAAAGCAGTATTTGTAAAGAATAAGACATACCTTGGTCGTATTGAACATAATGACCTGCTTCACTTGCTCTAATAGCATAGCACCTAGCGACATTGTCGTCCATAAGTGCCGATCCTCGAAACAGACTGAAACATCCTGGAGCACAGAGAACGCAGCCAAAGACATGCTCTGTTGCTTTTTGAAGCCAGTGACCAATGGCATATTCAAACTCCTGATACCAGATAATTGGGCCTTTAAAATTCAAGAAATTTGAAAAATAACAGAAAAATTAGATGCAAATTCTTATTATTGTATAGGTAGCGTATTCAGAAAGTTTCGGTTAGCTAAGTGGTTATTCTGTAATTTACCTGAACCGACTGGGTGAATTCGACCACATGCAGCTCCAACCTTTTTGTTCTTTTTTAAGCGATCGACCAACAGACGCACTGCATCCGGTTTAAAGTCGACGTCACCATCAAGTGTCAATATAAAAGTGTTCTCAGCCTAAAATATGTAGAGCTTTATTCATTTACGAGTCATTTATGAGATCTTGCAAAAGTGACATCAAATACCAAAGGATTTAGTCAAACAATAATTACAGGGATATGATCCTAAATTTTGCAAACGTTTGACTTATTGGAAATATTACTGACAGTTGATCGGTTCTTGTCATGATTCAAAACCCAGGGTCAGTCTTGAAACAGTAAATGGTTTCAATCAAAAGTATATCCATCTTTAAAACACTTTGAGATATCAGTTGTGTTGAATCTTCTTTTACCTGTGTGTGAACTTCCTCTGTTGTGTAGTTAAAGATGACGCTTCTGGTGAAATGTGAAGCCTGTCTTCGATGTCGCAGTTGTGAGTTTGTAAGCCGTACTCTCTGATTAGCATCCTCAGATGAAGAACCAAAACTTCGATCGCAAAAATCTCTATGAAGTAAATTTTCAGGCTGCGCAAGGATCCGATAACCAAGAAGATAGTACATGTACATTACCTGAAATTAACAAAGATGATAACCATATTTATCAGCATCTCTATTTCATTTTTTCTATATGACTTAAACAGCTTTGTTTGAAAGTTGATGACAATTTTACAGTGTAAAATCAATTCCAATGTATATTTTGTAACAAAGCAAATGTCTAACAAAGCCAATACTAGTGTAAAGAAAGGAAAATGCGTATTTCATGATTTATTTCATTAAAACTTAAAGGCAATGTTTATCATCATTTAAGAATTCAATTGTGCTCAATGGTAAGTTTATTTCAGTAACATTTTATACATATATATATTTCAGTCACCATTATTTCAAACGAGACCCCATACGGGGTTTATATCTCTCAGTTGATTCGATACGCAAGAGCATGCTCTGCGTATGAACAATTTCTAAAACGAGGTAATATACTGACAAACAAGTTGATGAAACAAGAATATCAGCAGTCTCGTTTAAAGTCATCATTTCGAAAGTTTTATGGTCGATACAATGACCATGTCAGCAAATACAATCTATCATTAAGTCAAATGCTGACTGACTTTTTTTCATACTAATTGTTAGGCCATTATTTACACACTGAATCGTCGACGGATTTTTCCGTTATTTCCCGATCATGACAAGGAGCACCCGGCGGGTGTGACCTGTCGGCAGGGGATGCTCACTCCTCCATGGCACCTGATCCCACCTCTGATGTCTTAGAGGTCCGTGTTTGCTCTGCTCTTATTTTGTAATGTATAATTGACTTTTGAGCTCGAATACTGTTCGTTATCTGCACATATTTACGTAAAACAACATACAATCAATCAGTCACCATTCAGTTTTATTACAGTAACTATTCAGTTTTATTTCAGTATTCATTCAGTTTAAATAACTTCATGAAATGAAGTGTAAACTTACTTGAGACCACCGTTTCTTGTGTCGAACCCGTTGTCTATCCTTTAAATGAACCACAAGTTTTGTTGCACCAGGCAAGAGCCACGTTAGTCTTGCTCCGTATGGCGTTGCTGTTCGCATGGGTGGACCAAGTTGTAACTGCCTCTCATGAACAGAGCTTATAAGGAGTTCATTAAATTGTATTTAACAACTTCTAACAATTATAAATACTGAAATTATATTGCGCATTTTACATCATGTGTTATATGGCCCTACAATTTTGCAATGTATCCAGCAGGACAAAAATGTTTCCGCCTTCTGCCATCTTTAAGTTATTGGTGTAAAACTTATAAAAAAGAAAAATATATATATATTCACGTTTTGTGAAGCAATGACTAAAAATTATGATTTATTTTCTTCTTCTTTTTCTCCTCAATAAAGCTACAGAAAGTAGAAAAGTACCTCAATGCATCGTCAATACAATCCATGAATTCGACAACGAAAGCATTTGGTATCGAAGTGTCACCCTCAGATAAATCCATTGCATCATCAAAGAAAATGTGGGCTGAAAAAAATATATAATTATGTGGATAAAACCTCATGTTCATCACGATCCTCATGGCATAAAATCAAAGAGGGTAAGCTGGTTCTTATATGTAAATTGATTTTGGTCTTCAATGCTTTCGGAATACACCATTACATCTAGTGTACGTATAAAAATGACTCTACATTATGTGACACCTGAATTATTTCTATTCTCCCATTTGTTAAATTTTCGTTTCTTGTTAAACTTTCCTTCAAATAGTTTATTTTAAAATGGTATAAAACAAGTTTTTCCCTGTAAGAAATAAAATTACTATGTTGCCATGTCCATCAGTCTCCGTTGAAGCACAATCGCTAAAATAAGTGCGTTAACAAAGTGTCTGTTCCTACCTTCGAATTCGTAATAGTCTGGATCTCTTATGCCATAGAATTTCTGAGCTAGGTATCTACCACTGTGATCAACATCTATACTGCAATAGTACAGAATATAGAAGTTTAACATACTTTATAATTGAATATAAAAAAAAGCACCGTCTTCTATAACCTTTGTCCTAAATTTTCAAGTCTTCAAACTTTAAAATTAGAGACTGAGGATGACTGGTCTGAATTAAAATATTATAGCAGTTTGACATGGCATATCTCAAAAACATAAGGTTTCTAAAATATATAATGGTGAAGTCGGTCTCCGGGAGTGGTATTTGTCCAGCATGGCTCTATTTTTTTTATACTTCTAATATAAAATAAAATTTGTCTCCAATGTTATTTGAAATTTATATTAAGCAATTCTTTGAACCATATTTTAAGAAAAAAAGATCAACAGTTAAATTTGTCATTTTATTGCCAAGGAGACTAGAAAAATCTGGTTGGATTTCAACCGTTTCTGAAATAAAAGTTTCTCAAAGTGTCAGTGTAAGAATGTATCTTCAGCGCGATTTGATAGCAAAATCTCTAACCTACATCAATTTTGTTGTTTATCATTATACACCTCTAATCAAAAAAATGTATAATTAATAAGAATCTACAAAATTCTAAGCCTCCAAGTGAGAAGAAGTGAATTTTGAATGGACAAAATTGAGTTCGGACAAAGAGAACATCCACCTTTGTGAATTTAGACTTTCCTCATGAAAAGTGAGTAAGGACTGCACTAGTCCCAGGATTTATCACTTACACTATCAAAATAAAACTATTATAGAAAATATTATGTTTGAATAAACCTAAAAGAAATATAACTGAAAAGTAACAAGTAACGAGCCATCTATAAAATAATGATTTTTTTTTTGTCAAAGAAACAAACTATTCGAATATACTAGTAATTTCAAATGGAAATGATCCCAAATTTATTTTATCCAGGATTTGAATCTGATGAAGTATAATAAAAATAAATTGATAAGTTTACACATACCGGAACAGAGACTTCAGAAGTTGAATCATTTCGTTCCTAGTCTCATGCCACATTGTCGCACAAGCATAAATCTGTGGAACAACATCATCTGCTTTGTGGATCTCATCGTCGTCATAAATAAAAGACCAGTCTTCATCAGCATTGAACAAAGAGGTGTCTCTGTCGTTAAGTCGTCGACGAAGAGCAAGGGAAGTGTCCGTTAATATTCCACATCTCAATGGTGTTACAAAGAGTCTGCGAATAAAAAGGAAGTCTTACACAAAATACCCTATTTTGTTAAACACTTGAATTTCTACATGTATTTGAAGATTATTGTAGCCAGCGTAAAGAATTTTAAAAAAGAAGCTATACTAGTATCTAAATTTAACAAAGTTGCAGTGAGGTACAGTTGCAAAAATGAGTGTGTGCCCTTCATGGTAACCCTTCAAATACCAATAGTACAGAAACTTTTTCTGTTTCTCGTTATATAAGTTTTATTGTCTTTTCCCTTTTAGGTTCTATGAGTGCGAAGAACATTAAATTCCAATTTTTCACTTCCCTTCTCATGAATACAGGCAATTTTCCAACATTGGTTGAAGCTGGTACAGTCATTTCAGAAATTCCGAGAAAAGGCATGAAGACAACAAGGGAGCTGATAGCAATTGATCACTGAATAACTCTGATGAACTAATGATTTAGAGTTTGAAATAAAAATATTTTTCTTCGAATTTTTTTAACATACCGAGTATTTCTTATGTACTGAACGTACATTCTTGTCAATATTTAAAAAAAATACATAAAAACAACTTTTATCTTTTGTTAAGATTTAAAGTATTCATTCATTTATAAAAATGGATAAATCAAATCCACCAAAAAAAGGGATATCTATTGTTCCTACCTTTCAATTTTAGCCATTCTTCCGTTTCGAGGCGACCAGATATGCGCCGTTGTGATTAGCTGTGAAATCCAAAGAACTCCAAGCCAAAGAAGATGAAATTTCCGTAGATCTCCATCCGATTCAGGGCAAACCAAAACATAGACATAGGAGGGTAAGTACTCAGTGAACTGTTGCACAAGTACAAGTCCAAATGTTATAGGGGTTGCCAGGATGATGGGCAAGGTGAACCCAAATAGTTGCATGCATAATTTGCACGCAAGACCTCCAAAATACGACATAAGAGTAGTTGAAATTAAATGCAAATATAAAACTCCATATTTTTGTAGGTTTAACTGTATAACCTCGGGAATGTAAGAATTGAAAGTTGAGTTTTGTTTTACGCCCGTGTCTTGATCCATATCTCTTTTAGGGATGACTACGTTGCGAGTAAGCATGTTTTCATTTAAGTGCAAAACAGATTCAATTCCACGGTCTTTTATGACCCTGGTCAGATTGATCTGTGCATCGTTATTGCCTGTTCCAGGTCTCTCCAAAATTTGAATGTTCTGATTTTCAGTCTCCACTTGAAGTAGAGATCTCTTTCCTCGGACATTTGGTGCAATAGTAGTAACGTCATTTCCTATCGAAGACAAAGATTTCGTGGTAGTTTCAAAGGGTACTTTGAAATCATTGCCGTTAGAAATGCCTTTCATGGACGAATTACTGGAATCCGAATCAGAAAACGAGATGCTAAAGTTAAACCCAGGAATCAGCAAGATGGCAAAGATCATGGTCCAACCAATTTTCCATAAACCAGTTAATATGTATAATCTTTGTTTCACCACAAGCAAATTCTTCTTCCATTCAAGAAGGGGTATCTTAAAAGAACAAATGTAGATATCTCCGTCTGCATAGTTTTCCCAATAAGACAAAGAAATAAATACCAAAGAAACCGGAAGTTCCCACATTATTCTATTTGTAAGAATAGGTTTTGGTCTTTCAATGACATTGATGACGTCATCATTATCAATCACAGAGTTAACCATGTCTTGTTTCTCATTATCTGTAAGCGGAATAGTAAACATTGATGTAGCACCTAAATTGCAAAACTGAATAAGGAAGGCTATTCCATGCACAGTTGTAAGCGTCAGTCGCTTTATTCCTGGTAGAGATTTGTCAGAGATAACGAATAGTGTTTTGAGAAGTGCTGGAATCACAAATATTCCACTTAAGGGTATTAGACTTCTGGCCATGTCCATTTTAGGAAGAATGTGAAACACTAGTAAGCACAATCCAAAGCTGTGTAGGAGTTCAATGAACAATGTCTGAAAAATGAAATCATGAAAGAGTTTCAAAGAAATTTATCGTCTTTGCAACTTTCAAACAAAAATATTTCCCTAGCGCTTTATGACTGTACTTGATTTTTAAAAAAAAAATACTGGCAGAATTGTTGGACAGAAGTATGACGATTGTGTCTCTGTTTAGGTTATCAAATAATAATTCAATATTACTCTTTTTCATAGATGGCAACACAAAATATTCCTTCAGTCGGATTTTTCCTTTATTGCAATGAATGTAATCTACAGTCAGTGTTCGAACTTAAAGTATAAATACAGAAAGAACAATTTCATTTTGCTTAACATTCAATAAACAAAACCTGTCAATCATAGTGAAAACTAAATAAACGTCTTGGTTTCTACAAAAGTAAGAGAAAAGAATGCAGTTCTCATTTTGATTTTAAAATAAAGCCTATATTTATTGTATAAAACAATATTATCGTGCCCAATGCTTTCTTTTTCAGGGGAAAAACAAACAAAGCATAACTTACCACGGTTGTAGTTTTAAAAGAAGGCCAGGCACTGCTTCCAAATAAAGATCTGGCTGTATACGTTAGTATCCACAAAGCATACGGAAAACATATGCAGATAATCAACATCGTATTGGTTGGTGAGCTGTTAACATCCCTGGCATTTTCATCCTTAAAAAATAGGCTTATTGAAAGGTATTTATCTACATCTGAACCATTTCTTAGAGAAAGCCAAATAAATAAAGAAGTACAGATGTCTCTCAAAATCACGAAAAACAAAAATGATTTCATAGATCTTTATTAACTTATCCTTTATTTTTTATTATAATTTTTTTTGGACGTTCAAATCTTCAGTATTGTGAGTTTCTCAGGCTAAAAGCAACCCAGCCAAACTTGGGACTAAAACTATGAACTTAAAAATTTGGTGGAGGACTCATAGTACATTATTACATTACAGGAGATGTGTTAGATGATCCATTTACATGTGAATAAGAATTAACAATGTTTGTGTGACAAAATATTCTTTTGCAAACGATTATCCATATCATTTCCTTGTAAATATTGTAGTCAATTAATTTACCTGTGCTCATAATTTATAGTACAATCCTTTGCACTCATGAACAAACCAGCCTGACCGTTTACCAACACTAATCTTAAAAGGTTTGTCAAGTGTCTTGCGACCTTAATTGGTGGATTTATACATACCTTTACAATGCTAGAAGTCATGATAAGAACTGATGTTTTGGCTGCAACTGCCGAACCAAGGACAATGCAAAACAGCAGTACATAACAAATCGCCTTGAATGCTCTCAGAAATGGTTTTAATGTATCACTGGTAGAAACTCTCTCGCGGGGTATCATTTGAAAACGATCCCAAAGACGTCTGAAATCATAGAAAAAAAGGTGTTAATTATCGCTTAAGTTCTTACATTGGTCATTTCTTTGTTCTTTTTCATGAAACAATATTGGCATGCAACTAAAACCTTGCAATAGCTCATTACTTTAGAGGTAGACAGTCCAGAGACTTCTCAAAATTACAAGCTTTTAGTCCGAAAGTACCCCCGGTAAATCTTTTCCGTTTTCTATAATTTTCGATTTGTAGCGTATATTTTACCATTTGTATTGTATATTTTTTAATAGTATTCTATAATTCTTGTATACTATGATTTTCTACTATATTCCTTAATAGTTCATTTGTTTTAATTTTTGCTGTATAATACCCATTTGTATTCTACAATTTTTTAATGTGTGTATTGTATGTGAATTCTATAATTATTTGTATTCGATTGTTGTATTCTATAATTATCAGATTTATCCGATAAGAAAATAAATATTTCTCAAAATTCTATTTTAGATAATTTCTTTTATCTATATACAATTTTTTTTCACATACAATAGAAATTGAACCATTATAGAATAAAGATGATGTATTATACGATACAAATGAAAATTATTCGAAATAATATATCAAAATACAGAATACAAATCGAATATTATAGAAAATAAATAGAAAATGAATACAAACGATACAAATGTGTTTTATTAACAGCAATAGGAGGTAATTTTCGGAATATTCCATACAATTATTAAAAGTTCCATTTATTCAAAAACGTGAAATATACATACATGTACATGTAGTATATTTATTGTCATATTTAAGGACAGATGATACAAACAATTTTTTATCACTTGACTTAAGTCATGTTTATATAAGTAAAATAAATAAGTTTAACCACTTAGTTTTTTATTTTTAATTCCAAGTTTCACAATAATGGGATTTAAAGTGACAAAAATTGAATAGATTAATAAGGATGGTCGCAGAAAGGTAGAATTTTGAACATAATACAAAATTTACAATTTCTTTAGATTTTAGAAATTTATTATTTGCATCATTTACAACCAAAAGAGGTCCAAAAATATATACCAATCCAGGCATCCATTTTTTGTTTGTATCATCTGTCCTTGAAAAAATGAACGTATTATGATGATATACATCTCTAAAGACGTCATACATGTAAATTACAGCAGACAAGTTTTATGGTAATTCAATTCAAACACGCATGCTTTGTTTTGAGTGTGCGCCACAATAGGTTCGAGGTTTTAACCCAGTAAATGAACATGTATAGCTCTAATTCACATCACGACTGAACCCCGCCTGAGGGTTTTGTGTATCAGAAACACATCTTTATTACTTTTTCCGATGGAGTTTGGGATAACCATGCTCCACTTCAGTGTTTTTTTTTTTACAGATACCGGGGTAGTCGCTGGGGGCCAGGAAGTGTTGCGGAAACCATGGCCTCAAGATCATTAAGAATATTAAATATCACACCCCCATTCCTCTGCAATTCTCTTTTAGAGTAATAATAAGGCTAGGTTACCCTTTGAAGTTTTTAACATAGTACTTCTTTAGTACTCACTTATCTAATGAATGTTCCTCCGAGACGTCTGGAATATTGACTTTAACTGTCGGCAGCTAAAAAAAAACATTCATGTTATATATATTTAATTCATATGTAAGAAATTAGAAAGTATACATTTTCAAGCTGGTACTTTAAATTTGAATGTGAAATACACTGTGCTTAACAGATTAAAAATTGGGAATTATTATTTATCTTCACAAACCTTGGTAGTATTTTCATTATTTTGCTGTATCCACTCTGTCACTTTCTGCTGTGATCCAGTCTTTAAGTTTTGTATATTCTCGCTGTCTACAGTTGTTTCCACCATCTGTTTTTCTGAGAGACATGGGGCTTTTGTTGTCGTACCAACAGAGACGTCATTGGGCAATGATTCCACGAGGACGTCGTATGTGGTGTCGAGATCTGTTTCAGAGTCCGATAGCACCGTTTGGTGTTCGACGTCCATCATTTTTCTTTTTTCAGACACCAGTTCCTGTAGCACTGCTTTGTGCCAGTAAGGAATGTATATCTGTATGAATATATTTCATGTACGATATATTAATAAATAGGACCGATCGAAATAGTACTCACATTTTTTAAAAAAATAGTGTAAATAACCCATAATTACGTTAAAGGGGAGGAACTGGAACAAATATAATGGTCCATATAATGTACGTTTGTTCAGTGGTACTACGGAAGTAAACTTAAGGACCGTAGTATTTTTGAAAACTCTAACCTCGAAAGGTAGAAAAACATTTATATAGTATCAATTTTCCTTCTTCTGTTCGTAACTTCTTTGGTTGTTTTTGTAATTTATATATGCTTTAGCCAAAAATCAATTTTCCTCTTCTATAGGTTGTAATTGCTTAAGTTTTGAATCTTAATCTTGATTCAAGTCCATATTTCAAACGTCAGTTAAGAAATTGGACTTGAGTTTAAGCAGGACAATACCTTTAAGTCACAAATGTACAAATTTTTTTCTGAAATAATATCCTGCATCTGTTCAGTTAATATGTTATGATCATGAATGAAGGTCATTCATATGTTTCACAGGACAGAGCCATTGCGTTAAAAAAAAACTGTTTAATTTTCCCTACCCCCCCCCCCCCCCAAATGATGATATTATTTTTGACTTTTACGCCTATATATGGAGGGGGCTGCTTGCTAAAATTTTGCCATTTCTTTGCAGTGTTTATTTTACCTATGACAAAATGTTTAAATTTTTAAATGAAAAAAAAAAACCCAGAGGATCAACAACTTTTTTCTTCGAAAGTTTCTTTCTTATGTACATATATCGCCTTGTAAATTCTGAATTATCTGGATGGATGTAAATAGTATTTACCTTTCATCGATAGATTCAGAATATACATACATATGTAATATTATGTTCCAGGCATACTTATATTCAGTTTTCCATTGTAATAAATCATTAGAATATAACTAACCTGATTTTTCCCGAAAAAGTGACCGGTCAAACCAGCCTCACGCAAAATACGTGAAACATTTTCGAAAGTCGCACCAACTTTCTGCTCGGGTAGGAAAAATATGTCACGATACCTAAGAGAAAAAATGTCGAAGTCAGTTTAATTATAGACTAAATTAATAACGTGTTGATATAGTGTATTTGAATAAAATAACAAAATTAGGAGACCTCTGAATAAAATCTCCGGGAAACATAGGTGTTGTAAACTCTTCTTTAAAATCCATGTTTTAAAGCTGACCTTCTACCAATTCCAGTAAAATTCATATATTTTGAGGGGTTTTTTTCTGCAAAGAAACAAGAAAAAATTGACTTACCATTTTTCCTTGTTGACACGGGACGATTTTTATCTTTTATGAGGCACAAATGTATGGCAGTCGGACAGAATGAGCGGTCAAATGTGTTGATGTACAGATAAACAGAGCTAATGCCCCAGGATATAAATAACAATTAACTTGAATATTTCTTTGAAGTTAGATAAAGGTTTAAAAACTGCATTGAAGAAAGTTGAACAATATTTATGGGAAAAATTACACATTAATATTAATATATTTTGTAATATAGTCCTTATATTTTGACATATATTAATTTTGTTTAGTTTTAAATAAGATCCTCTCAAAGTCTTATGGACACATATACTATAACGTGGTTTTTTTTTTTTGGGGGGGGGGGGTCGAAATAAATATTTTAAATTTAGAAGAGTGTTCAAGACATTGACAACCTCTACAAGGACTGGATATTAAATTCTAAGCCCCCCCCCCCCCATTTAAAATGTCTGAAGGCCTGATATAATTTTGTTGAACTCGCAAGACACGCCTTAGGTTATCAATTGGTCGAAAAAAAACCTTATTTGTCGAATGCAAAAAATTAAGATCGAGAAAAAAAATCAATAACAAGCTCCAATTACTTTTCCAAAAGTTTGAAATAGACATAATTTATTTATAATACAGTTTTAAGAATAAAACCTTATTTAAAATGAGTATTTTTTTTAAATTTATTCACATACAGGAAATTGCATCATTTAACACATTGAAAGTGTGTTAATTTTATCTTTGGTTAAGGGACTGTCGTAATATGAAATGAGTCTGAATCATTACCATAGCTTCAAGCACATATTTTCTCCATGTGGACAATGCCTATCTCTTGTACATATCAATATTTCCTCTGGACAATTTTCGACTGTCTACGTATACTCAGGAAGGTATTTATATACCCTGTGTGGAACAAAGGGGCTATGTAAACTAATAAGTGAGAATAAAACATGACATATAATGAGCATATGGTTTAGATTTTTAATTTATTCTTTAAATGTTACAATTACACCAGTTCGATGAATTCAAAAATCAACACATTTTCCGAACAAAGTCAGTTAAAGCAAACAGTACATCCCCAGTTTCTGTCCACAATTCACATGAAATTAAAAAAAGAGTAAATATATTATAGAATTTAATTTTGAAAAATTATAAATTTAAAAGGCACTATCATAATTTCAAGAAAATGTCTATCATTATTTCAAGACTTTTTAATGCGCACATGTTCTTCCATTGTTTGAATTTTGTCTATATTAAGGGTAACAATTAGTTTTTATTGAGGGGAGTTATATTATGCAGGATTCTAATTCCTCAAGAACAGATCGAGTTTTTCTGAATTAAATAATCTGATCAAGGAAACCAGAGTCTTGCTTACTCGTGAAATGATACGACACCGATAAAAGTTACTCTGGGTCAAGACTCCACTCAAAATGTCACCGACTGACTGTCGTCTGCTGGCTAGCATTTGAAGGGCTAGCTCCTTCCAGAAAGTCGTTGATCGGCCTATTGCACAGGTTCTTTTTAGGTTACTTAAAGGGAATTTTAGGGATCAAGTAAATATATTATATTGTGGAATCTTAACTATAGTGTTGTCAGAAGTTACTCTGATATATCATAATGCGCGACAACTTACACACGCGCCAAAAATGTCCATGAATTATTAGAAATAAAGT